AGTTTCATACCACTCGGCTCATGTAGAACATTGTATATATATATATATAAACTATGACTAAGTCTCCTGAACACCTTGTCCAAGACTCCCATATAAATGGCTTTTGTTGAAGCTCCCAGCCTCATAAAGGGGCAGCTTCCGCGCCGTGCACACGTTCCGCAGCTCAGTTAGGATCTGCCGAAAGATTTGGGCAGCTGACCGTGGCCACAACAAGCAACAAGGACCGCAGCTGAGAAAACCGCACCGATCTCGCAATCCTTTGGGTCGCCCCCCCGGCCTTGCCCTGCGACTCGACGCGGGCTTTCCAGTAGGCCTCGCCACTGCTTTCTTCAATGATCTGATTCACCACTAGCCTCACAGAAGGACCAGGCCGCATTCTCACTCTCACCCAGATCCAGGATTGTTGGGCATGTCCATAAACATGTGCACATTATGTGTGCAAATCGCCAAATCCAACTCTGCTTCAGTTCGTCCCGACTCGCCTCCGGCAGCAAATGCCCTGAGCCTTAAGCTCCTGGACCTTACCGTGGTGGGTCAAACAGATCTGGTAGGCTACGGGTGGCCAAATCAGTGAAGGCTCCTTAGAAGACCCTGAGGGGCTTATCTCCTTCGTGGGCGGGATCACTCTAATTGATACGAATGTATACAAATGTATGTGTTGAAGAGAGAGAGAGAGAGAGATAGATAGATAGATAGATAGATAGAGATATAGATATAGATGTACCTATATGCATATACCGGTCACCTTCTATCTCTTTGACTCAAGACCTAAGCAGCCAAAAACACCTTACCCGCACCTCCCTCACTAGGGCTCCTCGCGAGGCGCTGTGCTTCGGCGGCGTCCAGCTCTGTAGGCCGGGTGACCACCACAAACCTCAGCAACGCGGCGAGGCGTCAACTGCTGGGGAAAGAATGTAGCTGAGAAAGGTGTCAACTTAAGATAACTTAAGTATATATACTTATGCAAGTGTTGCTCTGTGACCTCATGGGCTCATCTTCTCAATTCGTGACGGGCCACAAGCAGCGTGAAAGTCAAAAAGTATGTTAGGTTTGGGAAGTCAGGCTTGCAGTTGGCTATGGCTGTTTCACTAGTGCTTAGAAGATTAGCGTAGGCCGCCTAGCCTGGCCCGGCCTGGCTAGACACCGCAGGTGATTTGGCCTTTGTTGACCAACAGTATACAGGATGCCCAATCGCCAATTCCCGCAATCATGAACATGTGAAGTGGCCCAAAACACATGCGCAAGCACTGATTATGTTTCTATCGCATCCCAGCATCAGGACCATGCTAGTGTCGGCAGAACTGCTGTGATATGCCCATCGGCATTGAGGAAGTTTTCAAGTCCAATGCTGGTCATCCCGCTGGTAGAGAGGGTGGGATAGTGCACAGGCACGTGCCATCCAGCATCTTTCAACCACCCGATGATCTCCCAGTGTTTCCAGCGATCGTGGGTGGAAATATGAAGCCGGCGCACGCGACCAAGCAGCCATGAGGCCAAACCCTTCAGCAACGGATGCTCATATCCTTGCGCATCAATGTCCACTAAATCCCAAGGCTCCCCATCCAGCAATGCCTTCAACTGTTCAGACGACTTCAGCATCTCTTCATGAACCACAAAATTACAGCGCCCTTCCGGGAAGTTCCAAGCCAAGTGGCTCTGCAAGACGCTGTGATCACCCAGCTCGAAGGGTTCCACCAACAACAACTTGCATCCCTGCCATGGCTCCGCATGACGCAGGAAAGCTTTGGCTGCACGCGCCGCCCATAGACCATAGGCACCGGAGCCGATGTCCGCCATGCGAAACGACCGCCGATGAGAGGCGGCATCGAAAGAACTGCTCAAAATGTCCGCCCACTCGAGGTACTCCTCATCCAGGATCGGCCAGAATCGTGGAAGCGGGACATTCTGATGGAGCCACAAGCATTCAAAGGAACGGCTTGGAGCATACAATGCTAGCTGTGTCTCATAACAGTGTCCCTCCACTGGATTGCTAATGCCTAAGAAATCCAGGAAGCGCTCCTCTGTAGCAGGACCGTGCACCGGAGGAAAGGCATGGAAAATGCGAAAGTGAGGCTTGTCACACGTCTCATGAAAAATGTTTACGATACAGCCGTTTCCGTGACTCAGTTGGAGTTCGTAAACGCTTTGACGGGACTTGGTCTTAGCATAGTCCAAGAGTTCACTTCCCATCTTTGCAAGGCCGACTATATCTGGCGCTAAGTCATCTGCAATGGTTGCGCCGAGTGAGCCTGTCCAGTGCAAAGAGCGCTTCAGAGGCATAAACTTCTTCCAGAAGGCCAATCGTGCCTCGTGCGCCCGGCCTGAGCCTGGTGAGCCTGGCCGCATGTGCAGCTGCCATCGTGTGGCACGGTCAGTGAAGTTCCGAAGCCTTGAAATATTCGTTTCCAGATGATTCTTTAAGTCCGCCAAGTCACTGCGGACCTGTCGACCAATCTCTAGGAATTCCCCCAAACACCTGCAGGCCAACTGAGGCACACAGCCTCCACGTTCTGCCCGCATGGCTTCACAAAAGTCCAAAAGCTCCTCTGAGTACGTGTTGATATTCTCTTCTTCCTGGAAGTCGAAACATCGAAGTGCCTGCAGCACCTCCTCCGGCGTACAAACAGCAGCAGCGGAAACAGCAAGCAGAAGCACCCTTTGGCATCGTGCCAACTGCACCATGGCAAAGCTGCTGTGTCATTGATTGCTGTGAAGGCGTGAGTCTAGTAGGGTCTAGTCTGCTGGATAGCTGGCAGCGCCACCAGCCATGCAGCGTTGACACACATCAGTCAATCTTTCTTAGATTTGTGCCGCACCGATCCTGTGGGTTAGGATGTTGGGGACTTACTGTAGCTCCTTGAACATCTGCCCATGAGCTTTGAGTGAGTGAGGTCCCATGGGTTGAGGCTCACTGCTAGGGATGCAATTGCCTTACAGAACAAATTTCACTCCCTACTTCCACGTCCGAGCCAGATGTAGATATAGACTAGATATATATATATATATAATTATATATATACTATATATAATATATACATACATCGTCACGAGCTTGCCAAAATCACAACATATCACAATGTCCTCAGCTGCTATCAACTCTCTTTGGCTCTTTGGGGTTGGCTGAGGCCGGATTGCCTGTCACTTCTTCAGTCCATTACCCCGCTCGATGAAAACCCTGAACAGCTCGGGCACCGGCTCTGCGCTGGCCCCACTGGAGACACCCTTCGCAGGTGGAGGTGTCTTCAAAGCTCGTCCAAGGAATGCGACCTGGGCACCCCAGCTATCACATCTCTAGACCAACCTAGTAGCAATGGCCTCGACCCTAGTAGCAATAGCCTATGAATCAATCCTTGAAGCGCCAACTTCATCCGTTTAGAAGGCACGCAACGGAATGCCTACCAGTGTCGTCCTGAATGCTAACCAGGCGGCTCGTTCTCGGATCGATTTGACCTTCCTCTCCGCCTCCCATGGTGCAAAGTGACAACCATACGGACTGATACGGCAACATATTCAACAACGTGTCCCAATGATTCCCCATGTGTTTGCGGCACTTCCTCATCGCAATCCCCGACTGCGTCACTGCGTCCTCGCTCTGGTCAAAACATTTTCTCCTCCATTCCGGGCGGTCAAAAGTCCTCCAAATCCAGCAGGATGTCGATGGCATCGAGATAATTTGACCTTGCCTCATCCAACTCCTGGACCTGAGAAAACATGCGTGCGCAGGAAATTGGCCCCGTCTCCCAGAACATGTCGCAAATACTATGTTACTATATCCCAGCAATTGTCCAGGAAGCGCTTCAGGCATCTTCAAACAGCCCATCCTCCCATCTCCCCCCACCCCATCCAAAACATATCTATCCCTTTCAAATCCTCTCAGATCCCTCTCAGATGCCTCGAGCATTCCGCCTCTCAGATGCCATCGAGCCACGTTGCAGGACCAGTTCCAGCAGTCATCCGCCTCATTGCTCCAGGCCACCGAGAGCCTCAAGGCTCGACCTAAGACGTCCGTCTTCTGGAGCACCGCGTCCGGGTCGTTCACCACGCCTGGACGTCCGACCCGGGTGCGAAACGGGCCGAGGTTCCTCAGGAGTTCATCCGAGTTCATTGCATTCTATTGGAACACTATTAATTAAGTAGAAAGGTATGCAAAATAGAACTGAATAGTAAACCAAATACGATTAGCGATGGCCTCCAACCTAATGGCGATGGCCTCCAATCTATGAGCCTGCCACAGCAAATGAGCCATTAACCTGCTAATCAGCTCGATTCCAAGAAAATAAATAAGACTTGATGAGACCCCTTCTGGCTGGGCACGAGCAGGTTGAGATACGAGATCCAAAGACGCATCTTTCAGGCGCAAACCTTCCCAGCCTGGTTCTTCAACCAGAGCTTGTGCCAGCTCCTCAATAGGTCCCAAGTCTGAGATGACCTCACAAAATGCAGTGGTTCGGATTGAACAATGCACCTGCCACACGCATAATATATACACATAATATATATTTCTATATGTATACTTCAAGAACCCTAAAGCCCTAAAGTTTACGCTTCTTACTCTGTTCCAACATGACACTTGCCGTCTACAGCGGATCGGATTGACACATCCATTTTGCCTGGCAGGTTCAGCACGGTCAGATTTCCACACCCGTTTAAATCTATAATACTTATAGGCTTTCAGGTGTGGAAATCTGACCGCAACTTACAGCAGGTGTCGACATGTTGCACGTAGGATTCTAAGGCAAAAGGGTTTGTCCTGATTTAGAGGTTAAGAAGTGCAACTTTCGGCACCCCCAGTGTATACACAGAGGTTCTTCGGTGAAGGAACTGCGAGATTACTGGAGTTCTCGGAGGCAATCATCCCCTTTCCATCCCTTTTCCTGGCCGTCCGGGTGCAGTTGTGCTATGGTCACCATGGTCCTTCCAGGCCTTCAGCAACTCACGGCGCAAGGCCTGGCCACGGTCCTCCTCCAAGAGTTCAACCTGGTTGGGGCAAAAGAAGATATATAAACTGATAAACGTTTAAAAATGTAGAAACATGATGAAAGATGTACAGCAGGTCGAGAACTGTGGGGAGAAACATTCGCAGTCGGAGTCTGAGTGTATCTATCTACTGTATCTGTCTATCTGTCTATCTCTCTGTCTCTATCTCTATCTCTCTGTATGTAAATATAGTTATATAATATATATATATATATGCACAATACTGTATTAGCATGATTTTGCACATTGCAGCACATTTCAGAACCGAGCCACGAAGAGCTTATCAATGGCCTGCAGAGTTTTGCGCGCTCTCCTCGGCAGGGCACGCTCCATCTCAACTCAACAGTGTTTCAGGGACCTTCCATGAGACAGTCAGCCAATATTCACCTCACATGGCGTAGTGTGTGGGTCTCAGACTTTCAGTTCCTTGTTCCCACCTGAGGTGCTCAGTTCCCTCTCTCTCCGAGTCACTCCCACCAATTTCCCCACCACCGATCCACCGATTCCGCTGTGCCGGGCATCCAGATCCGCTGCCGCGCGGGCGACGACTTGGGCGCCTCCCGTGGATCCAAGGGCGGCACCTGAACCCGTCGGGTCCGCTCCAGAATGGCCTGCGGCTTGGCACGGGCCGGCGCCGCCAGGCACCAGCAGTGGGAGGCCACCATGAGGATGAGACCTGGAAACGTTCAAGAGTGAGCTAGGCTGGTTTCGCTTGGAGCTTGCCGATACACCCAACAACATGTGTCAGGAGCAGGATGTCGGCCTCTGGAAGATACAAACTTGAAGTCGAGACATACATTAAAAAAATCAGAAAAAATAGAATCAATTTCCGTGATGCTTTCAGGACAGATTCCTTGTATCAGGACATGTGCCAATGTGCCAGCGCCCCTCGGAAAATCAGACCAACTCGTCTGGATTCCTTCTCGTCCAAGTCCGCTGAGCGCCTCGTCTGCTTCTCAAAGCAGCCGAAGCACGTGGGGTCTCCATCAGTCGCACGGACGGCGTTCGCACCGCTTCGCACGTGCGAAGCCCGGTTCGGGCAGGCAGCCAAGCCATGGGAATGTGAGCACAAACAAAGGGGAACAAGTCTAAGCATCACCTTGTGAAAACAAGCGTGCTCTTTTTCAGCGAGAGGTGTTCCCTTTGACTCATGTGCTGTCATGATCCACACCAGTTTTTTGCTGGCTGCTCATCTCTCTCATGTGCAATCTACCGCGGCATCTTTGGCCGCATGAGCGTCGGCTAAAACACCAATGTCAGCACACATCAACCATTCATAACCAATGAACTATTCGGTAAGAACCTAAGGATGAAAAGAATAAAAGCAGTCCGAAGTGATAAGGAAATGAAGAATTGGAATTAAACATAATTCTATAAATGAAAAAATAGCAAGACTCAAGGCTATACAAGGTAGTGCCTAAAAAGTACCCTGTTGATGAGGCGTCGGAGACGGGATACATTCCAAACACTCAAAATAAATCGGTCATACGTCAGATCTGACTGTAGTCAGCACAAGTTTGACACTTGCCAGGCCTCGTCAAGTTTGTCATCAGCCCCACTTGCTAAACCCAAGCCCAACATGCCCAGCCTCAGCCAAAGTTCCGGGAAAAGGTGCAAGAGATTTTACAGACTTTGTTTCCGGAAGGGGTGTCATTATCTAGGAAGAGGTGCATCATTGTGGGCGTGGCCGCTGATGCTAAATTTGAAATGCTCGGCAATCGTGGCCCAACCTTTGATCATCTAGCCGGGCGCTGTCCCACCAGCTCAACCAATTGATTTGCATTGCATGTCTATGTATATATTATATATATGCATCAAATACCTACCTTGCTTTTCGCAGTTGTAACATAGGACATCGGCCTGTATCCCACAAGCATGCTTCAACGAACAACTTTAGGCATGATGTTCTTGGCCTAGAAGTGCGCACGAATGTATCAGGAGATGCCCTCCTCAAGTCCATGTTTCATCTCCTTGAAGCACTAGGTTAGAGGCCATCGCTAGTAGGTTGGAGACCATTAGTACTAGTAGCAAGAAGCTACTAGTAGCTATTTGCTAATCTGCTTGAAGCTCGTCCATTCCCAGTGCGTGGTCAATTTTTCTTCCATGAGCGCCAACAGGCTGAAGGTGGCCTGCACGAGTCAGCATGGTTTGCGGACAAAAAAAGGTGCATCTCCAGGCAATCACGGCACCTCATGAATGTCAGAGAAGCCTGAACCTGTCTGAAGAATGACGATGGAAACTTGCAACTGATGACTTCGCAAGGTTTCAACAATGTCATCGCCAAGTTTTGCCTTAAGCTACCTGCTGTTCTCAACACTCTGCCCTCAAAAAAGAACTGCCATCCAAAAGCATTCTCGCAACTCACAATCCCACAACTTCATCTGAAGGCCCACAGCCCAGCCTGGTCGAGTTCTTCTCGTGCCTGCGCCACCTGCCACGCCCAGCGCAGCATCCCCTCCGCTCGGCGCCGACGCTCGCAGAGCTTCAGCGTCTCGGCTTCCCAGAAGGTCAGCTGCCTGTGGCCAACGTCCCACAAACTCCCTCCGCAGGTCATCCACAATTCACATCTCTTGAGTCTTGGGCATGGCAAAAATGAGATGTGGTTTTGTGTTGACCCGTTTGTGATGGCGTTTCTTTTTCCGTCCACTGGATGCTGTTGCGTGCCCAGCCATTCTTCATCCAGGCCTTTCCAGCTCTCGTCGGACTTCAAGATGTTGAGACAACGCATCTTGAGCCTGCCAAGCACTTCCCGATGCCCATTGCTGTCACTCTCAGTCACACATCAAGACTCTGCTCTTCTTGACTCACCTATGTCACTCCAAGGGGGGCTTCGGATGCCAAAAAAAAGGTCGCGAAAGAAACACACCAGCAACAAGGAGTTTTCAGGAGCAAGGGCATCGCTACTAGTGACAAAGGGCACTACTACTAGAAGCATTCTTACTACTACTAGTATCAACCAGCGCGCCATCTCATCTCTGCCGCCTTGGGCGTACTGCTCTCCCCGTCGTGGCTCGGCGCCGAGCCGTCGCGACGCTCCCTGAAGGGCGCTCCGGGACTGCGGCCACGGTCCAAGGAGAGGATGGCCGGATCACTGCTGGTGAGCTCCTGTCATCTGTAGAAGCTGACCATGAACCAGGAAGCCTTCTTTGGTTTTGGCGGTGTTCGTTCCTGCTTGTGTCCAGCATAGACTGGTTTGAATCCAGTGACAATGTGCTCCAGGGTTCTGCTGGCTACTATCTTTTCAAACCTCCTGTCACAATCAAAGTGTGCGATGATACTCTGGAACTCGGTGCCATCCACACCTGCCCGTCACGAGCAAATCCATGTGTGATAGCCGACAGTTCTGCAAACGCTTGGGGTCTTGAACCACCTCCATATTACAATGTGCACTTATTAATGGTAGCGTCTTGTTACCAGTAGTGCTGGCCTCCACCCAGCGATGGCCTCCAACCATATAGAGATGGCCTCCAACCTACTAGCTTCTTGTTACTAGTAGTACTGCCCTTGTTACTAGCAGCGATGCACTTGTTACTACCTCCTTCCCATGTCTCCTGCCAAAAAAGATCCCATCTTCGCCCCTTCCCACGCCCAGGCGGAAGCGGTGGAAGGCGGCCGCGGGGGGTGGCCGAGCGCCGCGGGGCCGTGAAGCTTGCAGCCTCGCTGGGATGTCGCCATTGGGAGACGTCGGGTGTTATGTGATGTTGAATTGGAAGGATTCTTCAATCTTGTAGCCCACTGGATCAATCATTTTCTGTCACCGAACGGAGAAAAGGCCATCAAAGTGACATATTCTTCAAGGAATATCACTGGACGATTCTGGGACCTCCTGGGACCTGCATCGGGCCCAGTTAGACAAGTCGCACCTCTATCATGCCTCTAATCGATTATAGTGTCAACCAGCCTGGGCGACATAGTTCCTGCGATTCTCCGCCGGCGCGCTGCCAGAACTACGCTGCGAAGTTCTGAGCCAGGCCGAGACAATCGCGGGGTCTTGGAACGATACGACGTAAGGTTGGCTGATGAAAAGATTGTAGCAATCTTCTCAGGGGCATCCCATGGGACCAAGAAAAGCCAAGTGAGGCTGAATCCTTCGCAATCCATTCTCTTCATGTGCCTCGGGAATCCTCCAACATGGTCTATCTATATATATGTGTGTGTGTGTGTGTGTTTGCAACCCCCTATGCAATGGGCTCTGTCCACCAAGGCACGTGATGAGCTCGCGACACTCCAAGACCTGGTCGAAGTAGCGCGTCCGGTCTCTACGGCACATCTCCAGGCGCAGGAGCAACTCCTCTAAGGCCTGCGGAGGTGGTGCTGGGCCCAGGTGCAGCCTTCGAATGGACATGGAGTCCTTCCAAATGCTCCGTTCGTACGATGCCAGGAGCCCCGTTCGTAGCGTCCTCTTGCTCCTAGTAGTATGGCCAGGAGCCCCTAGTAGCGTCCTTGCTACTAGAATGGCGACCCTCCAAAGCCTAAGTATGCCAGAAAGTGGATAGAAGTACTCGTGGGTTGGGGGACTCCTCAATTCGGGACAAACAAGGCAGAAGTGTGCATTTTGGGCCACCATGTGTCCGTCCCACAGTGCCTTCCAAGGATCTTGCCTCAGCCCAGCGGGATGTTCCTTTGCTTCTAGTAGTTTCTAGCTTCTAGTAGAAAAGCCAGGAGCTACTAGTAGTTACTAGTAGCTTCTTGCTCCTAGTATCGATGCCTTTTGTCTTGGTATAAAGCTTTTAAAATTAGCAGTTGCCAGTTATGCGATGGGCTTCCAAGACAAAGCGGTTGTGATGCCGGGTGCGAGGACATGTGCATCTTGGAACTCTGATTGTATCATTCTAGATACTTGGAGTTATCGTTCTCCCTCACATGCAGACTTCATCGAACTCCCGGGTGCTTTCTGGGCTCACCCTTCAAACATGGCTTTGCCAACCTCTTGATTGAAGCAGGTCCCCCATCTCCCAAGCCGCAACCGACTGGATGCTGCCATCGCCACGGAGCACACGTGGCCTCGCCCAAGCGCCGCGGCAACCAGGGGCCTCCGAAGCCGGCAGCAGTCAAATGGCCACTGTCCTAAGAATCAGCAGCGGTTTGACGCGGACTGAAGTGAATTAAGTTTCAATGTGCCTTGACTTGTCAGAAAAATGCTCATTTGGTGAAGCTTCCCTAGACAAAAATGGTCCGGGCGATGGTTTTTGGTGGTTCTTGATGATTGAATGTGCACTGTTTGGAATTGCTGCGGGCTTGCTACTACGCGACATGATGGAAGTTCAGGGAAGCAAGAACAGTTTTGGGGTCAAGCCGGTCCTTGCTCCGCATTGGCTGCCCACTGCCACTGACATCAGGGCTCAGCCCAATCTCATCGAGGCGATCTTCATCAGAGCAGACCCTGGAATTGAATTCTTGAGGCAACGCCACGAGATTTTACCGTATCTCTCTTGTATATCTTGTATCTCCTCGACTCTAAACTTCACAAGCAACTCAACAATCTATGACATCAAAAGCCCGCTCAGCTCGAATGAACCAGCTGGAGCTGGGCTCATTTTCCCCCCATGGTCCCAACATAAAACGAACTTAATGATTCGGAGGGAGCGACACACATCCTCAACACATTCATTGGGAAACTCTGCTGACCCAACCGATCGCCGTTTTCTCCGTTCGTTCGTCGCCTGGGCTGCGCTTCCGCCTCCCTGAGCGCATCATAGGCCTCGCCCAAGCGCTCCAGCGCCGCACCAAGCGCCGGACAGCCCCCGCCTCCGGGGCCCGGGCGGCGAGTGCCGCGGCTGTGGTGCTGCAAACGGTTCTGCAGCACGTGGAGCCGCAGCTGAAGCTCTTCCTGGAGCGGGGGAAGCTTTTTCTTCCACTTTGGAGGAGGCAGACGGCTGGCAAGCGAAGGTGGGTGCGTTGGTGCAGGGGTGGACTTCTTGTCAGCAAATTCTCATACGTCTCAAGATGTACATAGGGTACACATTCTGGCCCCATGAAGGTCACTTCCATCTTCGCGCACGAGTTTCCTCCTCCGAACAGGCTGCCGGCTCGGGAGGTGTCCCCTCGAACAGCGAGAAGGATGCCCTCATGCGCCATGTGGCCCGCGGCGTGCGTAAGGCGGGCAGGCGCGACCAAAGGAAGCTGACAACTAACATGTTTGGACCACCTAAGGCCACCCATATACAACCCAGCGCCTCACCCAAGGTCCATGAAAGCTCTTGGACGGCTCCTAGACACCTGTCAGCCAGGCCTGTCGATTCGACCAATCCACTTCTATGTGCCTCCGCACCCACTACATCCACTACAGTATCTAAGCATCTGACCTGGAGAAGACAGACAATATTGAATCCGACCAAACTGACATCTTGCGTCTCATGTTGAGAAGTCAATAACTTGGGAATGGCGGCCGAACGACTTTGATTGGCACATGCAGTCCAAAGCTTTGGCATTGCGCGGCTACTGGTGAGCAATGTTCAAGCCTCTGTACGACTATACGTGTGCGTCTCCGCCACTCTACCCACAAGAAACTCCCTCCTCCAAGACAAGGCAGCTTGCCAACGGGTCAACAGTCAAATGCACCGTGAACACTTTGCCTAAAATGCAAAAAGATTGTTTCAGTTCCTCAAGCTGTGATCAATGTCTATGACTCCGATCCCATGAGCTTCTGACACGCCACTGATGCTCTTTCGCACGCTCAGCGCCCGGTCGATGAAGTCTGGCCGCGTTCGCGCTTACGATTGTGACTCATGGGAAGTGGGCAAGAATGCAAAGGATCTGAGCATCAGGATGAGGAGACACTGCATCCTGCAGCCACTGGATGTGTTCTCTTCCTATGGATCTTTGGAGGGTCCCCTTGCTCCGATACACACCCATCTGATTGGATCGAAAGATCAGCGACTGTGGTGTGATGAGGCTGACCACATATTTTTTAAAGTGCTCACCCATGCATGGTGAGAATTCTCTCCGCTACAGGCTATTGCTTCTGCTAGCCAGCAAGGTTAACCTGGACAAAACTCAATCGCACCAGCATCCTAACCTAAAGTAAATTAAGGGCAAGCTGTGGCAAGCTGATTTGCTAGATTGGAACTGGACAAACTTGACAGGTTCTCGGGAACTGAGCAACACCCAGCCCACCCAAATCTGTGCAATCCCAACTGATCAGGAAGGTGGGAACTTCCAGCAATCTCAGTGTGTGACCTCGTGCCACATGGCAGCTGTGGCAAGCCAAGCGGGTCAAATCATTCGACATGTCAATGCTGTGCAGTTCCAAGATAGCGATGCCAAGAGCCATGAAACACGACCTTCCATCCTCCAAGCATTTAGCTCCACGCCCGTCGGGGCGGTGTCGAAAATCACCAGGTCAAAGCCTTTGTCAAGTGCTCGCTCGATCCCCCGTGCAAGGGTTGAATGGACAGCCCATTGGTACCAAACCCTGAAGCGTCCTTTGCTCCTAGTAGCTTCTTGCTCCTAGTGGTACGGCCAGGAGCCCCTAGTAGCGTCCTTGCTCCTAGTAGCGATGCCAGGAGCCCCTAGCAGCGTCCTCCATGCTCAATCCATTGGCCCCTTTCATCTGGCCTTCGGTCTCAGTGATGGCCTTGGCGATGGCCGCGATCTCGTCCACTCCGGGCGGGGGGGGACCTCGGCCCATCGGACGGCGGTGGAGCTCCGCCGGTGCTTTTTGAAGGATGTGAGAGGTCGTTAACTGATAACTGATGATAGGTAGTTAACTCAGTTCATGATGACAAAGACCCTCTCTCTCTTTCTCCAGCTGTGGATAATAGAGATGGTCACGTGTTCCTTTCGTTTGATTCTATTTACCCACATATAAGTGAAAACCTCACAACGGTGGACAAGGCTTTTACCGCTTGCTATTTCAAGTGCATCTCCCCTCAGAATCTGTTTTGATGATTTTTTGTTCTACCATGTTCTACCTGCTGCTTCTGCGGCTTCTGCTTTTGGCCTTTCTTGGCTCTTGGCTTCTTGGCTTTTGGCTCTCTCTGCTACCCCGGTCATTGGATTTTGATGCGGCTAGGTGTTGATAACTTCTTTCTTTGTTGTACACCAGCATCAACCCCAAACAGCAGCGGCAGCCTGATGCCCCTCTTGACGATCGTTTTGCCGGCATCTCCATGGGAACCAAAGGGGAGAACAAAATGCAAGAACTAACATTGCAGCCTTTATTAGGCGAGGTAGATAGCTGGATCTCAATGCAACCAGCGGATGAGACCGTCATTTTTGGAGCCTTAGAACGCTCACCGCAGCTCCAGCCGCGGTCGAACTGGTCAGCGACGACTCTAGTGACTTTGCACCGCATTCCTTTGGAGGCTTCGTGCCAGCGTGCGTTCACTTCACATCACTTCACCATATCTCAAGGGTGTCCACGGGTCGTCTCAAGCAAGAACACCTCTGAGACTAGACTTGTTGCAGTCATACACTAGTTCCAAGCCTTTAAACTCTCAGCAGAAAGGCTCGTTTTGACCCACAAGCCACCCAAAAGGCACACAGCCCGTCTCACAGCAAACCCTCCACGTGGAGCATTGAATGGGCAGTGCGTAGATATCGCGCCATGCGCGAGCGGATCTCATGCAGCGGGACGATGGTGAAGAAGTGCGAGGCCGTCAACAAACGCACCTGGCGATGAGAGACCTGGCAAGGTCAACCAAGAAGTCACTTGGGTCGAATCATGGGAGATCTCCATCGATTCATTGCAAACACTGACGGATCCGGAAAAGGGAGATGTTTGGATTTCGGGACCTCCGGATACAACTCCTTCACCTCCTCCCAGAAGGCAGCCCTCAAGCTGTCAAAGGTCTCGGAAGCTGGCTCATCCAGGGTCTGATCCTTCGATCAGCGGGCAAAACATCCACATTCACCTACAGTAATGTAGACTGTCGATTGCTAACCACCCCCCCCATTTGGATTGTAGAGCCTCTCCATCTGGCCATTCAAGAGGTGTTCATCAACCATCTACACCCAACGAGCAAGTCTATAACACACCTGTGTGCGTGTGCAAAGGCTCCAAAAGCATGAAGTCGTAACCACAGAGACTCTGGAAGACCTTGCTCAGGTCATAGTGTACATCCCCTTGTGTGGTGATGACCTTCCCCAGCTGTCCCCGCATATCGATCATCATGATCTGATCATCGTTGGTCCGAATGACGTTGGAGAACACCTGGCCGCCAGGCCCACACCGGGCCCGAGAGATAAAGCATCTCTCAAACGGCCAGCCCAGCATGAAGGGAAAGGAAGGAAAGCGTTGAAAGTATATAAGCATCAAAACCCTGGAGGAAACCTCGCAGTTTGGTGCTCTGCTACCCCAAAACAAAGCGCATTTCAGCCAAAGCAGCAGGGTCGCCATGGATATAATGCGCATGAACAGCCCTTTCAGAAGATTCGAAATCTTCCAGAAAGCGGATCAAGACATCTGCCATTTGCCGTGTGTTGATGCCCAACTCTTCTGCCAGGGAATCCTTAGTGAGTGGTGAGGACTGTGGCAAGGGCCATGGTGACCATGGTGTAACTGCCGATGAACTTTGTGAATCGATGTCATTTCCGGGTCCAGAACCGAGGAGCGTAAAGCGCGATGTGGTCCAAGGCCCTCTTCTTCACCTGTCTGCATGGATGCGCCGCTTGTCTGGGTACCGTCACAGATCCAAGAGAGCCGAGGCCGAGACAGGGGAGGGAATGTTGGGCTGGGGCGTTGACATATATGAGTCCACAAGACTAAATGAAGCAAAGCTGCACAAGCAAGCCGCTTGGATCAACGCCCTCCCAGGTATTCTGCACAGGAGGTTTGCCGACCAACCAACCAAGCAATGCTTTGGCGTCTGCAGGAATAAAAACACCAAAAATGCCTTTGAACATGGTTGAACCACACACACACACACACACACGCGCGCGCGCATATATATATAGTATACAGTATACACATGTATTTTATGCCATACCCAACATTCAGCTGACTTCCACTTCCCTCTGCCTTGGGGCCATAGTTGGAGCAAAGCTGTGCATTGCTGACCCTGGCCTCTCGCGCCGCCTGAGACGAACCGAAACCGATTCGTCCTGTCCGTGGTCGTCGGTCCCGGTGAGGTGAGCACAAAAGTTCTGACGTTGCGAGCCTGTCCTATCTCCTATCTCGGCAGAGCCGCGGTCTTGGATGTCAGAAAGGGAAGTCATGAGAGGTCTTGCTCTCAGTCCGTTCCATCCAAGATAAGTGTAGCACCTGCGAGTCTTCGGGCGGCTGTTGGACGTGAATCTTCCGCAGCGTGCGCACCAGTCTCCGAAGCCACTCGGGCATCAGCAAGCGGGCGGTAACCAGGTGAGAAAAGGTCACACCAACCACCTGCGAAGCAACGAATGTGATGTGAGACAGCGGGAGACATCAGAAAACAGCATGTCATCAAACAATGTTTGAGAACTTGAAAAGAGAACTACCGCATTCCTGTAGTCAATACCGGCCAATATGACTTGCCAAGAGACCTGAAGAATGCTCACAAGACTCACAAGTGTTGTCTGGCAAAGGGAAGGCGTAGGAAGAATGGTCACACTCCCCAACCCCACCTTGGACATGGTGATGGTGGACAGGGAGCTGTCTTTGGAAGCATCACCTTCCTGAATATCTACAGCTTGAGGAAAGTGACACGCCAGCTCGGGCGGTATGCTTCGATACCAATGACCTAGGGGTACCACGTGAAAAACGATGTCACTCGACAACGAAAAGCCATGCAAAAGGAGCCTTTCAATATTTTCAATCCGCAAATCCTGAGGCTTTATGTGTTGCCCTCTGTCACGCTCATTGAGCTCGATTTGACAAGTCACACTCTCCCTTTAGAACATCGGGTGAGGAAGACTTGATCACCAAGCTCTTCCCCGAGGAACGCACCGTGTTGAAGGAACGTGCATCGATGGCACCTTCCAACATTTGGCCATCCATTTGCCCGACATACCAGCCCAGCTCACGGCTCAAGTCCCCCTGAGAGTTGATGGCGTGTGCATCTACTGTGATGTCAGCATATGGCTTGCCGAAGTGCAACCTCAGCTCAGAAATTCACGGCAAAATTATCCTCTTCACTCCTACCTGGATTGTGAGTTTTGACGAACTGCGTTCCGGATCGTCGCTGTCAAATTCATGTTCAAGCTTCACTCAACTGAAGATGCTGACAACAAAACATGCGCACAGAGTCACTGAGTCAGTTTCAGACATGTGGCTCATCATATGGGATGTCTAGCTGCTTCAGCAACTGAAAGGTATCATGGCCTTGCTCTGCAATGGCCCGATCCGCGCCGCCTCCCATCGCCATGCCACGGCCTGGGCGGACCAGATGTGGACCTTCCACGACTGAGCAAGCCTCGCAGTGATGGCGAGGCTTGCCCCACTGGCTCCACCAGTGCCCAGCCGGTGCCCCCCCGCGCGAGAGCGCACCACTCACCGAGGGTCTGGTCGTGATGATGATGGTGTGGCCCGACCTGCTCAGCTGACGAACCAGCTCGACGGCCGCCGGAATGGGATCCACTTGTCCAGCTTCGTTGGGGTGGACCAAAGTGCTGTCCAGGTCGAAGCAAAAGCGCATCTTTCGAGTGACCTAGCCGAGCGCTAGCTGCTCAAGCAAACGCTCCGCAAAAAGACGTTCCAGAAGGACACGTTCATTCAACTACTATACCATGCCAGCAGTTCTTCAAATGCCAAGTTGTGTTCCCGTACATGACATGTCCACATCACATTGGTGCCAAGGATAGCTCAACTAACATCTTTGCCTTTAGCCAAGACTATGTGTGATGCTGTTTCTGTTGAATGTCGAGGAAGCCATTGACCTGTGGCCTCTGCAAGTCTTTTGCCAAGGCACTGGCACTTGGCCGCTCGAGACCCTTCGCACAAAATCATCCAGCTGGGGCGGTGTTGAGACCAAGGCCACGTCTTGGCAGCTGACAGGAATGCCAAAAAAGTCCTGCCAGCAAATCCGACTCGAAAAGCAGTTCTCGCATATTACTTTGACAAGTGAAGTACAAACGACAAGCTGCTGCTCTGAAAGACTCTTGCGGTCCTCACCCCGAGACATCATCCAATTCATAAGACTGGAGGCATAGAGACCACCTTTGCCTGCCTGACAATGTCAACCCAAAACTGCGGGAGAAGGCCCAACCGTGGCCCCAGAACCTGAAGGAACCTTTTTGGGATCACCTTCTTTTGGGAGCACCCCAAAAAGTTGTCCTGTCTTTTACAACAAGTGTTGAATTACGGTAGCTGTTAGATTCAGGCAGTATGCACCTCTCAACGCAAAAGGACCACAGTCACAGGGCATCCCACCTCTTCAGGGCATTCCAGCAGGGCCTCCGCAGCCACTCGAAAGTCCACTGCACTGCTGAAAATGTAGGTGCCACAGTTCGCCAGTGAGGAGATGACCGATCTCAGTCCACCAGTGGACGCACAACCCCTCTGAACAGCCCGGGATAAAGGTGTGGCACTCAGCTGGTGTTGGCTTTTGGTCATGTGAATGGAACTAAAGTTGATGCCCCCATACAAGACTTTGGGACGTGAAAATGGTCCTCGCCGGGCGGCTTTTCTTTCACTTCGAGTATCTTGCCATCATCTGCAAGCTTCAAATAGGAAAAGTTGGCTCGCTGCAGGCCTGTCACAGGAGTGGCTATGCAAAGACTCACACACACTTATCTATCTAAGCTTATCTAAATCAAACGGCTTGTCCACCAAACACAGAGCTAGCTGACGGCATATTGGCGCTGGGGCACAAAGGTGCGAGGAATTGTTAGCCTGAACTGCGATGGGAACCAACGCAAGTTCCTTCAACTCCATCCCCGCCTGTGCCCGTCACAGGTGCCTGCCCTAGATCCACGTACACTGAGGCATGCCGCGCTTCGCTGCACCGGCAGAGGTGCAAAAGGTCAACCTGAGGACCAGTGCGATCGGTCGACCTGGGGAGTGAACCCGAATGATGGTCCATCCACCCAGGTTTGCGCGGCCAGCGTGGTTAGATACCTCTCTTGACCTTGGGCAACCACAAAACTCATCAAAACTCGGCCAAGCTGGAAGCGGAACAAACTAACTACAGTACATACTATATACAGTGTGTATATATATATATGCATGTATACTGTATATCATATATATTACAATGCCATTAAATAACTATCAATGGGCGGCCAAGCAGTTTGGGTCACCATGCCTCTCCAGGCTATCAATGGAAGCGGAATCCTGCGCACAAGTTTTGCAAAGCTGCCCCCGGAAGCCTACACCACATACATGGTGGTCACTACCATGCTTTTACCGCCTGCAATGAGTCGACGTTGCTAAGCCTGCACCACAGCAGGGCACGTTGGGCTGTGTGACGCGTTTCCATCTAGAAGCCTGCGAAGTTGGAGCATGTTGCAGTGGCTTTGCTTTGGACACGGCTGCTGGTGTCTCATCGTCATCCAGGTGGCTCCAGGAGGTAGTTATAAAATAATCAGAAGAGAGTTGTCCAGAGGCACTTGAGTTGATGAATCTTGACAGGTGCTTAAAGTGCACTCAGTTGGAAGCAAATCAACAGAATGCTAGTACTGTATGTTTTGTAAACACGTGGCTGTGTATCAAAGGCCAGGAGACCTTGGTTGACCAACCAGCGAAGGTCAAGCTACATGGTGGACCAGGGCTTTTTTAACCATCCCCAGCTGTCGCCAACTCACCCAATCAGACTTGAATCCTCACATTCTTTGCTTGGCTCCAGCCACAAGGGGGGGCACAGCTCTGGACTGCAGCATCTTCGTTCTTATGGGTTTCTCATCCCCCCCGGATGCAGAGTCTTGACACCTGCACTCCTCAAATGATCCAAGTGCGATCAAGCAGCTCCATGATAGATGCTACTACTGTCCAGCGTCACCAAGCGATTTCGGCTCTCCTGGCATCTCTAATGTTCCAAGGTTAGGTCACGAGGGACGCAGGCTTTAATCGAACAAGGCAGCCTCCCCACAAAGATGGCAAGCAGGCAGTAGTTCCCTGATTAGCCCACCATCCAAAAATCATGCAGTTGTTAGACCAAAGCCAGAGTGTGGGCCCGCAAAATTGGCTGGGCCTTTTTCTCCAAGCCTTCCCTCCACTCAAGCCAGTCAGCGAACATCTCCTTGGCATTCATCTGCCTCGCCACGGAGAGGACCGTTTCCAACCAGCCCCTGGTCTCAAATGGAAGCACCACGATCTTCACTTTGACCTCGCCGACGACAGGGGCTCCCGAGCGACGGGACCACAACAGCGGAAGAACGAGGCCGGCCAGGAGCCCCTAGTAGCGTCCTTGCTCCTAGTAGCGTTCTTGCTCCGTTACGAATGACCTTTGGGCTCTTGGATGCCATATACACCAGTTTCCCCCCTTTTCAGCAGTTTGCCCAGGTAAGAGCCAGTCAGGTTTCTAACTTGGGGCGGCGCCCCGCACCACTCAGGTTGAAAATCGATCATCTCATCCCCACAAGACCGATCAACATACACAAGGATAAAAAAGGGTTGCAGAACAATCCAAGCCCTCAATTCTTGAGCAGCCTGGGGAAGCATACGCGCCAACATCTTCTGGACGTCATACTGTTTCAGAATGGGCGCGGGCACCTTAGCTGCAGCAACCACCTGTGGTGGCAAAATCACTGCGAGGCATTGACTTAGTTGCCACGCTGGGTCTTCAAGTGCAGATTACAGTTTACATGCTGCAAGCCACAAAGGAAAGCCTCCTTCCAACACCTTGGACAACATGCCCTCCTGCTTTGGGCTGCTGCTGGCACAATGCAAGCCACTCAGATTGAAAAGATCTCACTATATAGGGCCTCTCTTTCTCTCTCTCTCTCTCTCTCTCTATATCTCTCTCAAGTGTACACATGATATATATATATATAGCTACATAATTGTGCCAGCAGGATGGCTCAGGCACGGCCAAAAAAATAGAGTCTTCCTTGGTGATGCCAAGGTGGTCCAAGACCCACAAAAGCACCGGTCTACCCACAATGTTAACCTTGGTCACTGCAGAGCTCAGTTGACAATAGCAAAGGAGTGTGCATCATACTACATCTGAGTTCACCAGGAAGTAGACTTGAACTGTAGGTATGGTCATTGGACATCCCGTTCCTCTGCCAAGGAGCCAGGGGCTTTGGCATTCTAAAGCCAGCCTCTGCAAACTCAGAGCCGGAGCCACCCATCGGAATGATCACCGACAATGGCTGCCCCTGATTCTCCACGGGCCTGTCACGGTCCGTGACTCAAAGGTCAGCGGCCTGTCACCCCTTCACCCGTGTCTCGGCGGCTATAAATACCCATGAAGCCGTTATGAATCCTTGATAAAGGTTCATTGAATGCTCCCTTTGTTGGAGAATCACGCCTTTGCACATTGGGATTCGTGGACTCGAATTCTTCGTGACTTGAACATCATCCCAGCCAGACCTGACCCCGCTGGGCGAATTCTGCTGCGTGAGCGCTCTGAGGCGCCGCTTCATCTCGAAGAGCTCCGCCTCCTGGCAGTGTTGTCCGCGTGATTGAGCAGGAGCCAGGTGCCAAAGGCCAAAGCATGATACAGAAATGCCTAGAACCTGAGTGGCCCAAGCTTTTCGACCACCAACCTCCTGAAACATGGTCTGTATCATGAGAGCCTAGTCCGGTTTCATCCGGTTTCTAAGGAAAAGGGATTCAAATGTGAAACATCGGGGCCTCACCAGCAGAGTCTCCTTGCTCCGCACCTGTGCCTGCAAAGCCACGACCTCCGGCCATGAAGTGCCTTCATTCTGCAGGCTCGGTGGCGCCACGCGCGCCATGGCACGGCGGCTGAGATACACCACTGGACCAACTTTCAGTTGACCTTCTGGACATATCTCAGGTGTTCTACCGCTGCAGCTGTTGCCTGGACCTGCTTCTGGGAAAAGAAGGGGCTGTCTATCCCGTTGCTTGAAGAAATTTCAGTGATGAGGTTAGAGCCGGATTCGGAAACTAATCGGTCGGATTCTGAAACTAGGGTTCTGAAACTGGGGTTCTGAAACTAGGGTTCTGAAACTTGGATTCTGAAACTGGTATTCTGAAACTGGGGTTCTGAAACTAGGATTCTGAAACTGGGGTTCTGAAACTAGGAGTCTGAAACTGGGATTCTGAAACTTGTATTCTGAAACTGGAAAGTCAGATTCTGCAACTGGTATTCTGAAACTGGAAAGTCAGATTCTGCAACTGGTATTCTGAAACTGGAAAGTCAGATTCTGCAACTTGCCTTCTGAAACTTGCAACTGGTGATCTCCACATCATGCGATAGCGTGTGTGCCTGTGACATCACCTTCGAAGCACATCCAAACCAACGTCATTAGCCCCCCACCCAACCCCCCCACCCCCCAACCCCCCCTTGTCCCCATCGTGTGATCTCGACATTCCTCATCATTCACAAAGTTGTGGAATCCTAGGGAGGGAGTCCACAATGTTGCGGAATCCTAGTTGCGGAACGCCAGTTGCGGAATCTCAGTTGCCGAATCCTAGTTGCGGAATCCTAGTTGCGGAATCTTGACAGTTGCGGAATCCTAGTTTCGGAATCCTAGTTGCGGAATCCTAGTTGCGCAACTCTAGTTGCGGAATCCTAGTTGCGGAATCCTAGTTTCGGAATCCCAGTTGCAGAATCCCAGTTGCGGAATCCGACCAAACAGTTGCGGAATCCTAGTTGCGGAATCCTGCGCAGTTGCGGAACTCGACTTTATCCCAGTGATGATCAAAAGAGGCCAATTGGATCGGATGCTGCTTCTTTGCTTGCAGCATGATGCAGCTGCACTACCGCCACTCTCCTGCATGCTCAAGTCTGCACTGTGAACACGAGCTTCTGGGAAGGTCACATCCTTCTTGAACATTCAGGACCCGCAAATGTTCCTTCCACCCGACGGATGAAAACCAGTGGGTGCCACTCCACATATATGTTCGGTTTTGATTGGTCCAACCTCCTCCTCCTTTGGGCCTACCAAGCCCACCAAACGACCAACCTACCGAGCCACACACACACAGACCATCCCAGAATGGTCGAAACACTTCCCGTCAGATTAGCTCCACACTCCAATAGCTCTGAAAGCTCCGTCAAGCCCAAGGACGCGGTGGTACCACCGGGCCTGAAGCTTCGGAGAACGTAGGTGCCAAGGCTGGGAATGATGCCACAAACTGCGGCAGGAGCGGAACTAGTGAATAGAGTAAAGCCCATCGAGCGAAGGGAGTTCAGCACACACATATGGACCCAACAGGTTCTTGACCCAACCCGTCCAACTCTAAGGGCCCAGCAAGCCCAAGGAATCTAACCTCGACACGAAAAGCATGGTGGACCAATTGTGGATGTTTTGGTCGTGTACGTCTCATGTGGCTCAGGTGTGATTCAAGGAAGGGTGGAGGCCATCGCTATCAGGTTGGAGGCCATCAGAAACAAACAACGACTTAAAATAGATGACATGTCGAGGTTGAGAGGGCAATGGTTGTTGCAGGCCTGGCAAGTCGTCTTGGACATGATCCCAATCTTCCGGGCTAAGGCTGGGGCAATGCTTTGGCATCCAACATCTGAGTGAAAAAAATGTGGCAGGTCAAAGTGAATTTTCTTGTGGGATTCTCGTTGCACTAGGAGTAGGGGAGATCTGAGAAAGCCTCTCAAGCCAGTTCTGTGTTCCTTCCCCACCTTGAGGCTTTCCCTCAGCTCCTCAAGCGCCTCCTCCGGATCGACCTGCCCCAGTTGGACTCAAAACCATGTCGAAGATGCACCCTGAGTCTGAATCACAACGTGTTGACCCCAAACCGCTATGCACTTCTGCATGTAGCAACGAACTACAAAATACATAAAGGCACTTAAACTACGACATGGAACATGTGCCGCATCTACACACAGTGTAGTGTCCTCCATAGCGAAGAGGTTGTCCGCCTCAGCACGTGGTGCCAGTGGTTCAACTGCTACCCAATAGTCTCAGGTCAAGGCCACGCCTACAACAGGCGACTCATGTTCTGTGTATATATCTCCCCTTGCTTCTGGCAACCTCCATGTAGAAGTTAATTGATCCGTACCTCTCCAATTGCCACCCAGCTGCCACTTGTCTGGGCCTCCCATTCAACTGCTCGGCCAAGGCATCGCCGAGTGAATGTGCGGGATCCGTGGAGATGATCAACACCTCAGGAATCAGAAGTTGGACTCGTTGGCTTCTTTGCGACGGAACTGAGCCAAAACGGAACAGCCGGACTCTCTGGGTATACCTTGTTCTCTCTGCCTTTTGCTCTCGTATGAGATTTGTTACTTCAGTCTGCCCTTCCAAGAACTGCAAGCCAGGGGTCCTTCTTTCCCTCTGCTGCAGATGCTGCAGCAAAAGATGAAGAAGAGGAGGTTTTGCCTCCCAGTGGCCGCTTTCACGCTGCGGGTTCTCTGTCCACATCCTTCAAATACCCAGCACGGCCCAGTGTTGAGGCACACCCCGGCCTACACCGCCCTTCCCACCGAAGAAGACGATTTGCTGACCTGGTTGGCCAACCTTGGCTCGAAGGGAAAACATAACTCACCTTCTTGAGGGATCTACAATATAGGAGAAAACTAAACGTGTGGAATCAAAAGAATGGTGTTAATGATCTGTAATAGCCTCCGAGCATGTGTGGTAATAAAGGGCTTATAGTGACGCTTGAGTCGACGTGAGGTCTTAAAGCCGCAGTCCTTGGATGTTCTGGCCTCTCTCACTTGATCTTTTTTTGAGAATGTGCCGTCCTGCTTTGCAACAACAACCTGTTGGGGGCTGGCTCTGTCCCAAAACGGAGCCACGGACAAACTCTTGACTTGTGGAAGCACGTGCGCCCTGATTGAGGTTTGTCAATCGGATGAGGTTCGAGATTCATGATGATTCTGATGTGGCATTTCTCAAACATGGACGCAATCACTTGAATCACTTTCTCTCCTTCCAAGGGGCCAAGGCCGCCTCCGCCTGGCGGACCACGCGAGAACGCAGCGGCGGTGCGCTGAAGCGGGCCTGCGGCGCCAGCGCACAAACTGGGCGCTGGGCCATGATGCGCCACGATGGGCCGGGATCTCTTAAAGCATTAAGACAGCCGTTCTCTGAAACGCTTTATGTAATGCTATGTTGGCCATGCTGACCGTTTTGAAGTGTCAAAGATTATATATATTTGGTAGAAAGACTGTAGCTGACTAGGCAGGCCTTCTGCGCGCGACGGCGCTGTGCAGTCCACTGGGCAGCCTTGGTGAGCAGTTAAAGTTGGCCAAGAATGTGTGAGGCCGTCCAAAATCTCCAAAGCCCGACATGACTGGCCCTGCTGAAGAAACCACTACTTGGAATGGACCTGCTGAGAATTGCCCTCTTCTTTTCACCTCATGTTCGCATGCCCAAGGGGACCACAGGCGACCACAAGTCTCACGAACCATCCCTTTAGGGCCCACACAGCTGTCGCCAACACCAGAGCACCCACCTTGGAGTCGCACCAGGGTGGCCTGATGCCAGGGGCGCATGAGCGATCTTCCGTCTCGACGGTGAAAAAGCCTGGCCTAGAGAAGCTAGAGGCTGAAGCGTGGCTGGGCTCAGATCCTTGGCTCACCACAAGTGATCACAAGTGTCTTCGATGTATAGAGCGACATCCTCCAGGAGAGTTTGGAACTAAAAAGGGGCAAAACAGCTCATCCTCATGGCAAGTCGAGACATTTGTCTTGCTGTCAGATGGAGTCTGCGGGCTTCTTGGCCAAACCCCAGGTTCAGCTGAAGAGTAGAGTTGTTTGTGTCACTCACCATCAATCCAAATCGAATTGGAAAGGCTCAACAATCTGAATCGCTGTCAGTCCCACCCACACGAGTGCCACCAAATCGCCGACTGCGCTCGCTACTCGTCCAGCAGTTGGCCGTGCTAGGCCAGAGGCCTGGGCCCGAGGATCAAGAGCAGATCATCGGAATTACCGTCCATTCACTTGATGCTTTCAGACTTGTTCTGCAGGCTCTCCACCCCCTGCCCAATACCTGACCTGCACATGTCTTCATGCGGGGTTGTGCTTTTCTCTTGGAAAAAATGGAATGCGCGTCTTTCAGGCGCCCCAAGATGGTAATCGCCAAGAGTGAACCCTGCATGCGAGTCCTGAGTCCTGAGCTCCACTGCTGCCTGAGGTGTCACAACCGTCGCGACAGAACCCCGACGAGGCGACGACGACCGCACTTGCGTGGACCCATCTCCTACTAAAGCACACCGCCTGCGGTAAACAAATTCGTCAAGCCGCAACAACAGCAAAACAGGAGTGGAATGGTCTCCAAGTGGAGGTGCGGAATGGCACGGCATGATGTTACGGAACAATCACAGCTTCCCAATCTCAAGTCATTCTCCGCAAGCCCGTGTCACCAACCAGGGACTGGCCTTCCAAGAAGGGCAACGCAAAGCTGCTCCCCATCATGGCCGTGGGGCAAGCTTGGCTCCGAAGCGCCGACCGTGCGCACTGACCGTGCTCCTAAAGCCACCGCCGCGCGTGCTGTTGTGACGCAAAGCAGTCCACAATTGGGTTACCTTTGGTTGCTGAACTCCACCCTCCAATTCGGTCATGGGGGTTGGAGGGTCTTGACCCCATTGTTTTGGACAAGGTCCCGGAGGGCAGTCAGTAAGAGTGAGGCCAGAAGGAATGACACCGGAACGACACTTAAAAAGGCAACCTAATGGCAACCCTCCTGCAAGAAAAGCTGACACTTTTGCAAATACGGCCCAGCTTTGGTCTGGCTACTGGGCAACGCCATGGGGTGAGACAAACGATCGTCCAAGCTGTTCAGCTGAGCTTCCAAGCTATTTCAGCCGTACAGAACCCCCGAAAGGGGACTCTCGGCGCAGCTGCCACCTGTGGACTCCTAGATTCTGGGGGTCACCGAGTGCAGAAAAAATCAATACATCAGCCAAACAATCTGACGATCAAATCAAAAGATCCCAAAAAATCCCCCTGCGCCCTCCACGGAAAATCGCTGCACTCGTTGCCCTCACCGCGACAGGTGTAAATCTCTGTTCGGAGGCGTCGCTGCCTCGCAGTCGCATCAAGTTGTGCCTGGTTTTTTGCCTGGGGCACAAGCCGCTGTGATCGATCCCAAAGATGCAAAGGCGAAGCTGGGCCGGCATGCCGAACTCTCCATGCATCATAACAAACTGGTTCGATTCACTGCCAGGTGCATGATACATACGTCATGCATCGCGTCAATTGTTCATTGATTGGGTGGTTGACAAACGGCCCTTGCGGCACAGACTCGCATGTAACATCTCTGTCTTCTTTTGATTTGCCCACGTATGGCTCAGGAAAATACTAAGGATAAAACTACTTCCGTTAAAGTTGCTAGCCCAACGCACTTCTGCTCCTGCCAGTGTCTCGGAACAAGGGGATGTTCTGTTGTTTAAACATTGATAACATCTATTGTTGGATATAACTTTGATGGGCTCACTCTAACGGGCTTGCAAAATCACACCAAGAGTGTCACCCACCCCTCAGCTTTTCCTCATCATCTGCACAAACCTCAGCCAACATGTTGCACGCCGCACGCCGCACATGCTCTTTCCTTCAAGTCTATGGAGGCAAATCGGAACGTCCCAACATCAAAAGCCTTGAAGTGCGACACTCAGGTGATGGATGGGTGACAATGGAATTGATGGCCTAACTCTCCCACATGGATAGTTTGACCCAAAGGGATCATGAGGCATGTACCACTATCGTTTGAACTTGATGCATGAACTTGTCAAGCCAGAGATAGCCAAAGATTTTGAATTCGGGCTTTTGCTGTCAGGGAAACTCTCTGCCACACACATACTAGACGCGTAAATAGCGGTCGGACTGAATTCCACTAGTAACTTAGTACTCATGTACGTCTTCCATCTGAGTCGTGGCACAGGAGTCAGACTGAGGCATAAGCTCGTCAAACTCGATCTCACCAGAGCCGTCCACGTCGATCTCTTTCATGATCTCTTCAACCTTTACAAACACATAGACACATAGAGGATAGGGCGACACACAAAGAATACAAAAGAAAGTCACAGCACTTTCAAGAACTCCACCTGAGGAATAATAAAAAAGCTAGGTGAGACTGACTGGAGAAGCCGCACCAACCAGCAACAAAATGTCCAACACCCCTCTTTCCGCCAGGTGGCTGATTGCTTTCCTGGTATGAGATCACCGACACCTTGGTTCTGACGCCAGTCTCCACACTGGGAAACGTGGGGAACCGCAGCGGCTGGTGTTGCTTCCAAATGTGCCCAAACGCAGCACTAAGGAGGCAGCTATTGTCTTGCAGCACGTGTCTCAGCTCATCCATACAGATCTTCCCTGAGCACAGGAATCCCACAATCAGACCTCTGATCTGACCCTCCACCCCGCGCCCACAAAAAAAAAGGTTGTTTCACTTTCTGATCACAACCTCTCCCTCCCTGAGGTGCCCCCACCATCGCCATTCCGGTCAAAGACGCAGAATGCTGACCAGAGAGCATCCTCCTGCAGGTAATGCCTCACAGGTCATCACTGCAGAAAGGCACCGGGAAGCAGTAGACCGGTCTCTCGGTTTCTCCCCAGGATGGCCATTGATCTGATCAAAGGAGTGGTCTGGGCAAAAAGAACTATTTATATACACAAGACTGGCGCTTCATGATCTTCATTGGTTTGCATTCGGAATCTCGATGACGGCTACGGAGAAAAAGAACCAGCAACGATCATCGTACAACTCGCCGCTTGAGGACCCTGCGATCCGTTCCCAAAAAGAAACACCTATGTAATCACTGTACCGCTTTTCGGACATGTTTTTCACTTCTTTGGCGCGCACATCTGTGAAGTGTTGCAAAGGGTCAGACAAAACGGAGGTCCAGCTGGATTCTTCGGCACAGTTGCTACCATTCGTGCACCCTCCAATTCTACACTGCAAAGGAAACATCATACTACAAACACCACAGGCATGCCACAAAAATCGCGCGTTCCCAAATGTTTGACTCTGAGCGGCTTCTTGTCGAGAGTGGCCGCCAAAAACTCCTGGAGAGCGGCCACTTTTCAGAATAGAAAAACCCGACCTTTTCCCGTGCAGCGAGGCTTCTGCCTGACGCAGGCTCCCTCATTCTCCATCTCTAGCGTCCGACCCACCTGACACGACCTGCGCAGCGTCCCCAGCGTCCTTGTATTCAATGCTCCCACTCCTGCGGAGGACGAGTGTGTAATGACACTGAGATCAATAGGAAACTTGAAACAATTGGGAGGATCACATCTGAATCTACAAATTTCGGAGCACTTTGCCTATCACAAAAGTTCACAGAACAAAGGGCACCACAACTCGCAACAAGAGGCACTGCGCTGGACTCAAGTCGGGGTCTCCCATCAAAGTCCACTCCCGCCAAGATATGCTTCCTTAGTAAAATTTGGCTGATCACTGGAGTGCCCTACCTGTGGGCAGCTTGCGTCTAGTGATGAACTTATGATAGACCAGCAGGCGCACACCGTAATTCAATGTATTATATACTGTAAATCAACTACCCCTGGGGGTTCCCCGCGTTATATAGAGACATCGCGCTGGATCTCATGTAAACATGATTTAAACTAGGAGCAAGGACGCTACTAGGGGCTCCTGGCATCGCTACTAGAAGCAAGGACGCTACTAGGGGTTATGGCCTTACTACTAGGAGCAAGGACGCTACCCACTGAGGCTTGTGCAAATCATTGTCCTTCATTCCTGCCGCTTTCAGGCCATCACCTCGGCCATCCATTGCCGTCGTACAGGACCAACAGGAGACAGCAGCTGTCAAGGACAAGTTTGTTTAGTTGGAAAAACCGCTGGGGAAACCACCAGTTGGTACAGGAGCTCGTAGTCCAACGCTTGCCATCTATGTATATATGTATATAATATACTCTTCCATGATTGTTAGGTAGAGGGTGTCTTCAGTCTAGACCGATGTCCAAGTGACCTATGCACTCCCTATTGGGCACGAACTTGTTGGCAACCTTGAGTGCGGCACTGATTTCCTTGATGCTGAGCATGCCATCCCCGTTGCTATCAAGAGCAAGGAACCTCAAACTCAGTACAAGTTGCTGCGAGATTGGGTTCATTGCCAGGTACCTCCTCCCCATGTGACCGGCTTCCGAGTGGGATGAAGCATGTTTACAAATGGTTCGCTGGAAATCAATGTGAGGCTAGACCCTCAACTCTCAAAATGACAAAATTGCAAGTACCTTGCCTGCTTTGCCCTCTGAATTCTAGACTGCATCAAGGCATCTTAGGCTTGGCATATGCAGGTGTTCGATGCTTGAGGGCAACACAATTCCTCCAGCAATGCGCACCGCAATCTGGGGAAATTGAATTGAGGAATCATTAATTGCGAGTGGATCTTAATCAGCGAAGTTTGAAGCTATCACTGACGGTCCATAAGCGGCGTAGCGTCGGAACGGAAACCGCACCTTTTCTAGTCGCTTGATCCTTGAGCCAAAGTACATATGGTACATATATATATGTACAAGTTGCACTGTACGTGTCGCTGCACTTCCATTCGCATTAATAAACATGTCAGCTTTCCAAGCAAGTGGCTTCGTGCCTTTTGCTGGTCATCCCTGCTGCAGAGGGTCTTGTAGTATGACAATACACATAGCTGAGCCATTTGCACCAGTCTCGGGCAGCGTGTTCCCAATTCTTCTCAGGACAACCGAGCAGCTGCTTCCGCAAGTTCTCAATCTTATCTTCGCTCAGCTGAGTCCTGCCAGAGGTCACAGTGGGGCCAGCCAGGTCGCTGCATGACCACCAACTCCTTGCTCATCCCCAAACCCCAGCCTATATTATATATATATATATGGGCACACTCCACGAACAATCTCGCATGTATACAGCCAAAGCCATGAAAAGCCCTGATTTGTGGCTGCTGTGCAAGCCTCAATCTACTGTATCCATCCATCTATGCATCCATCCATCCATCCATCAATCCATCCATCCTTCCTTCCTTCCTATCCTATCCTATCCCATCCCATCCTATCCTATCCTCTATCCATCTCTCGTTTCACTGCCCTCATGTTGCCACTTGTCCGTGAGTGGCCGAACAACTACATATGTGACATATGTGATTGCATGATGTCAGCTGTGAATGTTGAAAATCTGACAAAAAGAAATACGCTTCCCGGCGTCACCAACCCCGAAGAGACCAAGGACGAGAATGCCACACTGAGTCGCCCACGCGATGACCTGCAGGGCCATCTTCCTTAGGCAGCTTTGGCTAGAGCCATACAATCCGCAGCTTAAACAGCTTGTCAATCGCAGGAGGGGATCGTGAAAATCACGTCATGGCCATTAGACCGGGAAGCAGGATGTGTGTGTGTGGGGGATTGCTGGGGAGGCCCGCATTTGCTCTGCCGAAACTGTTCTCCTCACTCTGCATCTATCTCACACTCCATCTCCATCTCCATATCTCTCTCTCTCTCATATTCCTCTATCTAACTCCGCTTCGGCAGCCCTTTATGTCACGCACCATGGGCGCCCATGCATGTGCAAGGTCAATCTGGTGCTTGCTCTTCACGAAAGCACAGTCCACCCTTTCAGCCAAGTCTCTTGAACCTGTTGGTAGATCTAAAGTTCTTCAGGTTGCTGACCTGACGGTCACGGTGTCACGTTGCCATGGTAGATCCACAGGTGTCTACAGCGTGAGTTGCTTTTTGGGGGGGGTGTTGTTTGTTAACCGACATCCTCCTTGACAGATCTTGACAGATTGTCAAAGCAAGTGGTGCATGCAACTGCTTCAGCTAGTGTCACCAGCTTCACCCAATCTCATGCGACTTCAGCATCACTCTGATGAAGTCGCCCAACGAGTTGGGCCTCAAAAGCCTGAAAATGCTTGTTACAGAGGCGTTAGAGATGGCGTTGGAAAGAGTGCTTTCATCTACAGAAAGACCCTAACAAATGGTAGGGCTGCAATGGCAGGTGCCATGTATGAGGCCACTCTCCAACTTCTCAGGCAATGGGCTGAGGTGGTGTTCAGCGGCTCTTTCCTGGAGTGCGGGGCTTTCTCCTTGATCCAGATGTGGTTCAAGGCCTGACCACGCGACCACCAGGTGTCCACCAACATGACACGGATTGGTGTACACCACAGGGTGCGCCGCAGGGTGCTTCAAGGATACCTGCAAACCCAGTGCCTGCTCAGCCGTGAAGCGCTCTGCAGGCTTCATGGCGAGCAACTTGGTGATAAGGTTTTTGGCATCATCTGACACCTGCAGAGCAGCCAAAGCCAAACCCTAAATGGTACTGATGTTTAAGCCCAAGTGGACACGCTGGTCCCGTCTGTCATCTGTTGAGCAAGATGCACAGTCATACTGTCATACTCAAATATCCACCATCATCACCACCACCACACCACCAAAACTCCCACTACAGTGACTATGCAAGCGACTGCATGAGCTAAAGCATCAAAACCCGTCCATGTTCACTTGCAACATCCAACTCAAACCTCATCTAGATCCACCACAAACCACAGCAGCACCTGGCTCCAGTCCTCTGCTGGGAAGGTGAAATGCCCCCTGCCAAGCTCCGTTTCAAGGCTGAGCATCAAAGACTTCGTTCTACGTCACAGACTGCTGCGCGTTGCTCGTGCTTCGCCCCTAGAATAGTTGATGTTCCAAAGCACAAGCTCACAGCACAAAGCAGGTGCAGCTGGCCTTCGGACCAATGCCAAAACCTGGGGATCTGTGTCTGCCAGGAATGGAGGGTAGCCACAAAGCAGCACCTGGGCAGTCAAGAAAAGTAAAGAGATTTCGACTGCATTGGATCAGTTTTGCACCCGTGCCAACCCCTCTCTATAAATATCTTGAAAACCCTACGTCTACTAACGTTTCTCAACAAAACCAGAAATGTGCTCTGTTCCGCATAGGTTAGCTCTAGCCTCGGAGTTCCTACAATGCTTGCCTTCTCCACCACTGCCTTAATCCTATCATAACCCATCTAAACCCTTGAGATTCACAAGCCCAATACTGCCAAGAAACATACATGATGACCCCGCAGCTCCAAATGTCACAAAGCTCATTGTAGCTCCCTGCTAGGACTTGCGGTGCCACCTGGGCTCAGAAAGGTCGGAAATAGTTCATCTCAGGATCAAGACCCTCAACAACTCAGCCTCTTCCCACTGGGTACCAGCGCATAGTATGGAGTTCCAGACTTCGTCTTCATGGCTTCGTTGGGCCTGCGGGATCGAGGGGGGGCAGCATGCGACACCGACAGTCAGACAGTCAGGGGAGGCTGCCTCTTTTCCAGGGCTTTAAGCTGGAACCCCTAGGTCAGATCCCAATTTTGCAACGCAATCCTATTATATACTCGGTTCACATTCGTTTCAATATTATAGTACATCACTCCAGAATATCCATGCGATCTTGCGATCTGGTGTCCTGACTCTATTCTTGACCCAAGCAGCTTAAAATCCGTCGCGAGACCGAAGTCGATCAGTTTCAGGAGATTTGTCTCGATCTTCTCCTGGAGTGCACCACAAACGGGGCGACGGGCCCAGGGACCACGAAAAACCCAACCACATCAGTCACACAAACCCACGGGGGAGGGCACGGATGGCGTGAAATGGATCTATACTGGGTGCAGATCACATGAGAGTGTGAGCTCCCATGTATGTTTTCCAAATCCCATGTCATCTGAAGGTAGTATGTTGAGAGTTGACACCAAGAATGCCGTGAAATAGTATGTTGAGAGTTGACACTGGTCAACCAATCTTTGAGGACACCAAACCAAAATTTCTCATAAACTCCATGCATTGGTCTCCTTCGTATGAAACAAAAAGTTCTCAGGCTTCAGGTCCTTGGTCTGACGCTCTATGATTGATCGCAGCAGAGTTCCCAATCAAAGGCAGTTGGTGGGGGGACGTCGGGAATCAGAGGTGGCGCACTCAGCTGCAGGCACGATGGCAAATTTTGTTGATGTGCAGGTAGTAGATGGCACTAATCATCTGCTTCATGACCTCGGATGATGGCCCATGCCGCTCTGCTTCCTAGGTCCAGGTGGAACCGTGAACTCGCTCCCTTGCTCGCACCAGATCTCCTTTGATGGTGTTCGGATCTGGAGATCTGGACCAGCATAGGCCAAGCAGGGTGGGTCATCCCGGTCATCCCCACCCCGTGTTCCAAAGCCTCCATACCCAGCCATACCCATCCATCCGTCTCACCTGACGCGTGGGCTCCGAAGCTCCCCGCCGGGTGCCCGGGCGATGGCGGCCTGGGACTCGGTGAAATGCCCCGCCTCCACGATGCGGTCGAAGAGCTCACCACCTCGCGGAGCCGATCAAAACGAAGAGAAATCCACGTTCGAGAACCAAATCAGATGCATCATGAATGAATGAGTAGTTATATAATATATATATATATAACTATAACTTATTTATACTCTGTTCTCTCTGGATTGATGTGGATTGTTGTTGTGTCCATTTTGGATGTTTCTTTACCCTATTGGTGCTGAACGCCGGGCCAAAACATACATGTGCTTGGGAATCGCATTGCAATCCCGTTGCGCAAACTAGTAACTGCACATCTGCCTGGACATATACAGGACCGCCGACGCTCAAGCCTGAACACATCTCCATGATCAAGTAGAGGTTTCGCTTGTCCTTGCCAGTCCGACGAAATTCAAACTCCAAGCCAAACTCCACATGGCGGTGCATCTTGTCGTGATTGCAGCAGCAAGACTACTTCTCTTGGTGACACCACATCGACAACCTGCCTCAAATGTCTCATAGAGCTTGATGATACCTCAGCAATTTTTGTGGATCTCAGACCTCTGGCATCCGTCATCATGACCCAGGCTGCTGGTGCAATGGATGTCTCATGCCCCACGAACAAAGCTGGGAGACTTGTAAGGTCACTACTAACAACAGAACGTGATCCTACAGGCCATCCTTGAGCACTCAACCACCAACCACAATCCGCCTAAATCTGCCAAGCAGAACCGCAGCTGCAATTCGGCAAATGCATGCAAATGCCTTGTATCATTGTATCACTTGTTTGGTGAACCCTGTTCATCATGCTTTGAAGCCACATACGGTGGCATCCTGCCACTTGAAATATCAAACAATGGCCTGCATCAAAGTGGAGGTCCCAAGAGCCATTGGCCTGTGGAGAGCAAATTGCCAAAGCTCCAGATCTATAACGACCAGCTTTACCTTCCACTTCGCACATCCATGCGAATCTCAGGTGCCAGGATGGTCCAAGCGCTTCATGATGTCGATCTCACAGTAGAAGCGCTCCAGAACCTCACAAGTCTGGCAAATGTGCACGTGTGTGTGTGTAGCTCTGTATAAGCTCCGCAAACATGCACTCACCGCTTGACTTTTGAAATGTTCTTTTTGCATCACACACTGCCCCATAAGATTTTAGGTAGCCTGATGGGAGGCGGCACATTCAGTATCTACGCCGTTCTCATGTGTGACAACATGCGCACATATGTGTGTGTGTGTGTGTACCCCTTGGAATCATAGCGACCCTTTTGGATTGGATAACTTTCGGTTTCTTCAAAAGTTACAGCAGGGGAGCGGTGGGCATTCTTGAAGTCACCGCTCAACGAAGACACTTCATGTTTGCTGTGGTACGCAATCTGGACGCAGATTGCACGTACCTGCAACACGATGATCACCACTCATTTCTTTTTGGGCCCCTTCGCAGCTAGAACAAGACATGCAGCCATTGCATCGGCTACGCTCGGCAGTCACGCAGTAATCGCTTTGGTTGAGAAGCTCGACTGTGGAGTTGGAGGCCTTGAGGCCTCGAAGACGTTTAGACCACCCTGTCTACACCTATCCTGGCTTCTTAGGCTTTTCACTTAGGCCGGCGTGTGGCCAACCGCAACTGCACCAGTGCGCATGTCAATAAGTGTGTCTGACGTTCGTGTCAGCCCACGGTGACCCCGAAGAGTGGCCCCTGTGGACCTGTTGAACGGGGGTTTGTCGAACGTACCCCCTACCTGGACACAGAAAAGCTCGCAGCGAGCATAGGTGGCTTATGCAAAAGTTATTTGCCAAGACTTCACGGGCTATTGCATTCCAAGCTGGCTTTATGCCAAAACGTGACCGCAGCGGTCCAAGCTGGCTTAACGCCACCACAAGGTCAGAGCGACCGAAGTTCTTTTTAGGTTCACTAGTACCTGTCGCATTCTCAGGTGCACATACAGCGTATACACTTAAACGAGGCGAGGTCTACCTAGGTCTTTCTAACGAGGTTCGGTCTCGTCGGTTTCCGTCCCCTTCATTTGGTTTCCCTTCTCATTCTTTTTTCCCATCGACACATCTTCTTGTCCTCTTTCGTTTCACGTCTTCCTGTCCTCATGTTCCGTCATCTCATCTCTTTCCTTCTTTTGCGCACACACGGCTCGGCCCTTAGTTTGTACGTGCGCAACCTACCTTTAACCCAGGTTTCAAGTCGCCCTGGTCTTTACAATGGGGTGGGCTTTCAGTTCATCGCTTGTCCGAGAACTTTCGGGTTGTTCCAAAGTTACAGCAGGGGAGCGGTGGGCATTCTTGAAGTCACCGCTCAACGAAGACACTTCAAGTTTGCTGTGATATGCAATCAGGACGCAGATTGCACGTACCTGCAAGACGATGAGACATCCAGCCATTGCATCGGTTACGCACTCGGCAGTCATGCACTGTCTACACCTATCCTGGCTTCTTAGGCTTTTCACTTAGGCCGGCGTGTGGCCAACCGCAACTGCATCAGTGCGCATGTCAATAAGTGTGTGACACCCTGTGTCTAAGGGTCTTCCGTGGATTCCCTTCTCCAACCGTTTCACAGCCGGGGGCATGGCCACTGTTCTAGCCACGCCAACAAAGCTATGGGAATGTGGACGCACACTCCTGTAGCTGCAATTTTTGTCACTTTCTGCATTTGTGATTCTACGTAATGCTCAACGCTGTCTCACATACATGTCGTTTCTGCCGAAAAAGGGCTAATGCTGCACAGGGCTGATGCAGCGGTGACCCAGTGTCCTTACGAATGCTCGACCAGTTGAGTTTTATATCTAAGTGTCTCCAGCTGCATCTTGTGCGGTGTGATCCCTTCGAGGCGCGTACCTCACTCACTGAAGGAATCGTTTTTTGCAGCCGGATTTCAGTTTCTGATCCAGCGTGTTGCACGAGAATGCTGATTACCCAACCGCCGGGTTCACGGACTACTTTCTCCAGAGTTGCATAGGAACAATAAATGTTTCCAACTTCCACCTAGTCATGTAGTTTTGCATTGAATGATTCATGCACGTTTCTGCGTGGTTCATGCATTGGTTCCCGTTTTAATGTAAGCGACTTTCTCTCCTTCTTGCGTCTTCTCTTTCTAGGTCTTGGTTCGTTGCTAAAGGCTTGTTTGGTTGTAACTGAAGCTTTTTAGCCCAGCGAGCGCCGGATTCGGCTTCATGGCTCAGTGCCTTTCCACACACCGCACACACCCTCTCCTGTTTTTGGTCGTGTGTTAGGTCTTCTCCTTGAGGCTTGGTAGGTTGTTTTTCAGGCTCGTTCAGTCGATCCACCACCCCACACACAACCAACCAACAACCCCTCCCGCCCCCCCTCGACTTTCGCTTCGTTCTCTCCCGCCTTTCGTTTCTCGTTCTTTCGTTTCACTTTCTAGGCCTTTCTTTTTCCTAGAGGCTTCTTAGGTGTGTAACCAAGTTCTTTAATCATGAGAGCTGCACGTGCTGGGAGATGCTTTCCTTCCTTTCTCGGTTTTTCTCTTTCTAGGTTTCCTGCTCTTTGCTAGAGGCTTGTTAGGTTGTAGAAGGGGCTTTTTTTCCCGGCCTACTGTGTGCGTCACACCCTATATCTAAATGTCTTCCATGATTCCCTTCTCCAACCGTTTAACAGCAGGGGGGCCCATGGCAGCTGTTTCCCTAGCCATGCCAACTAAAGCTATGGGATTCAGCCGGAAGGGAATGTGGACGCACACTCCTGTAGCTGCAATTTTTGTGACTTTCTGCATTTGTGATTCTACGTAATGCTTCAACGCTGTCTCACATACATGTCGTTTCTGCTGTAAAGAGCTAAATGCAGTACAGGGCTGACGCAGCGGTGAACCAGTGTCTGAACGAATGCTCGACCAGTTGAGCTTCATATCTAAATGTGTGTTTGAGCATCTCTGTGTGTGTACGCATTTCGCGATGAACAAATTCCACCATAACCGTCGGTCTTTTGATTCGGTCCTAACACCACCCCTCTCGGACGCAGCACGTGCGGACCTTCGAGCTGGAACCTCCCGCTGTCTTGCAGATCGTCTTCAGCGCGCCTTGCTGTTCACGCACGACATCTTTCAATGGTCTCGTGGATTCCTTCATGTTGATGTTCAATGGTCAGGCTAGGCAGGGTTTCGAAAACTACAAAATCTTGAGCCTAAGCACAACAATAGACCAAGCGTGCTCATGATGTTGGTTGCCTCATCTCACCCACGTGCATGCAGCATTGATTAAGTTCAATCATGAGATCAGCAAGAGAAGAGCCCTTGACCAGCATCGTGCTTCAAGAGACTTTGTGCAGCCACGCCGCGCACAGACCCAGTTTTCCTGAGAACAGGTTACAAAAGCAGAAAAAAAAACAGGACATGCAATCCACTCCAGTGCAGTGAGGGGTGCGATGATTGGCGTGCTTCCCAGCGCTCGGGGAGTTGTTCATCCGAAAAAAAAAGGATGCTGGCAGAACCTGAATGTCTCAAAGTTCTTCTTTATCGGTATCGTTTCTCTCCTTCTGTGAACCTTCTGATATGAAAATAGACCATTCTTGGAAGGAAAGGTCGACCCATGGCACCATTTGTGCGGGATTTCGGCCGCTTTCGAGTCATGCTTGTCCGGAGCCGAGTCTGATCATTGGACCCGGAACTGTGGGTGGTCTTGCGGGTTTTGCTTCATTCAATGATAATTCTGAAATGAGTTTCGACTTGGCACGTTCATGAGCATGCTTGCGCCGCCCTGATTGATCCTTGCCGGGCATCTTATGCTTGGCCTTACAGACTGTGCCATAGGAGCCGGCACCGAGCCTCAGATTGCGTTGCAAGAAGTTGACTCGTTCAACCTACAGTATTTAATGCTCGCCACCTTACCATGGCGTTCGGTTCTCATGAGGTTCACAACCTGAAGCTACGTGGCACCAGTCATTGAGCGGATTGAGACAAAGGGAGGCCCACGACTAGGAACGTCCCCAGATTGCCAGCAGGCGACGCTTTGTTCTCGGTGATGTAATGGTCTCGGACAGAGCCTTGGCCACCACCCTGGCAAGTCAGAGCTGCTCAGTCGGTTGGCTTCCAACAAAAACACCTCAATTGACCGTTCTAGGGACGGGAGCTCAAGGGGAAAGAGGAAAATCATCCCCCCTGAATGATAGCCAGGTGAGGTTGTGCTAAGCATTCTGTAGTTACAAATCAAAAAAAGTGGTTCCCAGAGGCCTACAGAATCACAAACTTGCGATCCAAAGTCAAAAACAGAGTCTCTACAGGGACACTCTCTACAAAATGAGAAGGTTGTGGAAGGGGATAGATACAGCATGAGAGAAAAAGTGGTTCCAAAAACGGAGAAACTGCACATAATGCATTCTGTAGAGGGTGCCAATTTTGCAAGTTAGGTATGGTGCAAATGGGCAAATAGAAAGATGACAACCCAAGGTTTGGAAGGGCTTGTAATTATTCTGTTCGATTGAAACCATTTGAAACCTATTCATTGTTGTATCCTTCTATTTTGATCTATTTTTGATTGTTTTATATTTACAGTATTTATTTTCTTCAATTCTATTTTATGGCTTTCAGATGCTTTCAGATCAGTCTGTTTGTTCACCATCTTTTACATAGGAGCCAAGACACAGCAAACGTGACATTAGAATACATTAGAGGTCCGTCCTAGGTGGGTACAACTTTCTCTACAAGGTGCCAGTTCTTCTACAAGATGCAAACCGGCCAGGCTCAAAACACCTCCAACGCAAATGAACATGTTTCTCTACTGAATCACAATCCTGCAAATCGACATCTTCCAGAAACTCCAAAATGTCTCCTCTACAAAATGCCAAACCTGGAAGGGTAAGACAAGTTTCTCTATAACAAAATGCCTTATATCAATGCCCAAGCCCTGGCATTCTGTAGAGGATACAGGCAGGGGTATGGAAAATCTGTAGAACCATGGCCCCCATGCCACACATTCAGACTCTTCTCCACACTTTCCAGGAATGCTTGACCAGCTTGACCATTTGGTTTGTCCGGCAGATGGAAGCCCTCTCTCCAGGGCGAGGCATGGTTGTTTGCCCCTGGAGCTGCGCCTTGGACGAGGGACTGCCGCCCGGCCTCGGAACATCGTGTCGAGACGCTGGTCGGATTCAATGGTTTAACCACTCCTAACGCATACAACATCATCAAAGCAATGAAGTGCAAAGCCAAAGTATGGAATTCCTCAAGCAAATGTACCGGCTCATGCCCCAGGGGCCCCAAGGCCATCTGTAATTCTGTCTAAGGCCTCCTTGATTGTTTGAGTTGTAACAAGCCAAAACGCCAGAATTGGTTCGGGAATTCCAGGATTATCTACTCTCAAAGTACTTGTAACAAACTCCTTTGACCAAACCCCTCTTCGTCCAACACCACCTGGTGGGTTTCGTTTGGAGACTTGCAGCACAGAAGCTTCTTGTCATCCGGCAAAGCCTTGGGGATATCCTGGCGCTACCGGCTGATACACTCGCGAGATATGTCAACAAGCCATTCCAAACAAATATCAATTATCCCCTGTTCTCAACTGCTCCATGGCACCACCCATCTCCCCCCAGCCTGTCCAAAGAAGGCGGCGAAGCAACCGCCACAGTTCTGAGCACAAGAACTGTGAACTGGAGACACTGGCTGACCTTAACCTACAATTTCTCCGAAACAGCACGAAGCCCACCGTGAAGCTACAGAAACTCATCCAGTAGACGAGCTTCAAAGAAGCGCTGAATCGTTGAAGTCATCAACAGAAGGCTATTGCACCTGGGTGCCCTCAAACATCCTTTGCAGTACGACAAGTTACCAAAACGTGATCGCTTGAAACTTTAAACGCATAGCTGAAGTGCTTCGTCTTGGGTGCCCGGCCATGTCGTTTAGGCCAAATAGGCCAAACGGCCAGAAATCCTATGTCCACCTCTCCTGCTCTGAGCCCACGCTGTGTGTGTGTGATGACCGAAGTAAGTTCACATCCTTGGCTCCTGCATTTGGGACCATGCTGGAGGACCCGGAAGAGAAATGTTTCAAATGTAAGCCTCTGCATTATGACCTCGTCGGCGCTGTTAAAGTTATAATGCAGACATCTATCTATCTATCTATCTATCTATTGTGGGCCAGAACTCTTCCTTCACAGTTGCAGTTCCACGATGTTCCACGCAACCACATTCCCGCATCGGCATCACCCAAAACACACAAATATGGCACCTGCCGTGCCTGCTCCCCTGCAACCCTACCCTACTAGTCACTAGTCACTAGTCAAACCCTCTGACGACATGAGCACCCATGCTCGAAATACACATCATCATGCATCATGGCAGCAAGTGCCAGCTTCTCTCACAGCTCTTTTTACGCCAGCTTTTCTGGGGCATCGTCCTTGAGCACTGGCTTCTGCCAGCTGATCCGATTGCGATTGGGCTCGGCTGTCTCGGCGGCCTTCTCCAGACGGTCCAGGGCCTCCTCAGAGAGGCGCACGCCGTACTTCTTCGCCAGCTCCCGCACCGGCGACTCGGGATATTGCACACCTGGTGGCCGGGCGTGAAGATCGTGAAGCCGGTGGATTCACAAGACCAGAACGGACAAGAACGAACATGACATGTGCGCTGAACACGTAGTGCCTTTTCGTAGATTTGTCTTGTCCCTTTCATTAAACATCGCCACCCTGCATTCCAAGACCGAAACTGAACCCAAGGAATCTCCCTTCAACCCTGCGGGACCATCAGACCTTCTTTCTTCTTCTCCTCCGGCAGCGGTGTCCAGAACTTCTTCTGTCCCTCGCGCGGGATCTCCCAGGGCGGCTTGGTGGGTGCCAACTGCGGATCATCGATATTCACCTCGCCATTCGCCGCCGCCGCCTCCACCCGCTCCACAGCCTCCTGAGAGAAGACCAGCTTGGGCACCTCTCGGACAGGCACCGGGATGTGCGTTCCGTGCAATGTGGTCCTGGGACGCACCTTCTTACCACCAAAGGTCTGCAACGGCCTCGGACCAAGGTCTGCAGTGCAGCGACCAAAAAACACAACAGAGTGTGAACAAAGGCGGCGACAAGAGCCAAAGGCAAAACAACCCAAAAGCAAACAAATCTTCTTTCTCGACTCTACTGATGGTGTGACTCTTGTTGCACTGAAAAGGCGAACAGTTGCCACCTGGCAACAAGGACAGGTCCTCTTCTGGCTCCTCTTCTTCTTCGTTCACAGGAACCAGGGACAGGGCTTCCTCATCAGCTCGAATCGCCTCGGCCCGAAGTTCCAAATCCTTGCGCATGTACTCCTCTCTGGTCATTCCAATGTCATCCAGGAAGGTCTGGTCAGGCTCTTCCTGGAATGTTGAGGAGCAGAAAAAGAACAACCGTTGAAGCGATCCTGTCCGCACTTACCCTCACGCGGATCACCACCCGCCTGCTTCCTATAAGCCCTTGGGCTTCTGTAGGCCAAAGCATCCTTCTTTCTCAACACGATCTGTCCACCTTCCACGCTGCTTCGTGCGAGGCCTTCCGCAGGCAGCAGCTTCCTGCTACGGCCACCAGCCAGGCTGATTCTCTTGGGCGTCCTGGCACCCACAAAGATTCAACATGGAGAATCTGGGGTTCCGAATGGCCAACCATACCTAGGACCCTTCAGATCCTCCACATCCCTAGAGACGCTTTTCAGGACGCATTCAACAAACCAAACCAGCTCAGACCTTTGTGCGTCCAAGATCTTTTGCTGGTGCTCCGGAGGCGGCAACCAAGCCACTCGGTGTTCCTCAAGCGCACGAAAATGGCTGCAAACTACGCCGTCAAGAGCGGGACAACTTAAAAGTGTCCGTCTCTCAGAACGGCTTGCTACCGCATCCTGCTTCTGCAAGCTTGCTTGCTCTATCAAACATTAACACTCATGGTTCACCTCTAGAGGCTTGAGCGCAAAGCATTCGGTGGAGAATACAACGATGGGTTTCTGCTTCGCAAGGTTTTTTTGGGCCTGGCATGGATATCAAGTTGACCGGAGTTACCACTTCCTCAGAACCATTAAGTGCTCGCAGAACATTTAGATGTAGTATAGCATTTCAAGCATAACTATCTTGACGCCGTGATGAGTGCTCAGCCTTTGACGTTGTCATTTGTCGTTGATCTATGAGCTGCCCAGGGGCAACAAAGGATTCATCAACCATAGAGCATTGCAAGCAAAGGGTTAAGTTGTGCTGGGTTCACTTGGATTGGATGGCTTCCATGCGTGAAATGGCAGGACCATCCACAAAATTTCAGTTGGCACTTGGGCCATCAAAGAACCCGAAACAAACTCCTGAACCTCAGTTGGAGGCCCAATTCTTGAGTTTCGCACCTGTCTGAAAAACAGTGCACACTACAACAGTCGGTTCTGCAGCCCATACAACTCTCACACACCCGACAAGAGGAGTGCAGCAACATCACTCAGGGGCCACTGCAGCAATTCGATTCACTTGGGCCAACTTGCCAACTTTCTTCAGGTCAGAACCACCCAGTACTCCCAGTGCATCCGCGAGTCCTCTGGTTCCCGAAAGACCCAAGAGTTGATGAGGGGATAGATCTCTTTGCGCATCTCCCGGAGTTCCTTCCTGATGCCCCACTCACCACGGTAGGGCAAATGGGGTCTGACGCAGGAAGCCTGATGCTGCCCACGTGAAGGCTGCGAGTTTGGGGTCGTAAAACTCCGGGGTCAAACAAAATTTGTGCGGAGCTTGTGGATGTATGAAGAAACTCCTTCGTGCGTCATTGGTTTGTTTAAAAAAAACACGTTTCTTCAGCCCTTCCTGTCTCACCTGCCTGGTGCTTCAAATTGTGCTCAGCGAAGCAGCTTTCACTACAGTACGCAGCACCCTCGCAAACGGGGCAGACCTTGAACCGCCGCCCTTCCTCCAACGTGGTCTTCCGGCACACGCAGCAGACTTGAACTGGGAAAGCTGGCGCTTGCTTCTTGTCAGTTCTAGCATAGGTACCCTTCTCATACTTGACCCACACATCGTCTCTCACCATCTGCACCAACTCACAACTGGTGACCATCACGTTATCTCGGGAGAACTGTGCCGTCATGTCAAGTTCCATGACCGTGGAATTGTTGCAGTTACTCCGCGGGGGCTTGTTCTCGTAGTTCACACGCCGCTCGCAGTCTTTGCAAACCAAGTAGCGGTCTCTCCAAGGATTATCTGGTCGTTCGACGTACAAGATCTGCGGGGCAATGCCCCTTTTCTTGCTTCGTTTGTGCTTCCTGGACAGAATGAAACTGGGGAGCAAAAAGCCTTCATCCCCCCTCTTCCCACCCTCGCCGCAGACCACGTGGGCAATGAAACTGAGTGTTTCGGTGTTCGATTGAAGGACAGGTTGTCTTAAATGCTCTAAAACTGAAAGGCTCTTTGAAAACTGCAGCAGGCCCAGCGACGAGCAGCTAGCGGCAAGCGGCTGGCAGGGTCACGAAAAAGGAGAGAGAGGATTTACTAACCAAGTGTCAAGCTGCAGTCTGCCATCTCTCAAATTCTTCATGATGGAGCATGATCATTCCCCCGTGAGCAGCCTGGGAGTCTCATCCCCTCCTTCTCCCCTACTTCTCCCCTACTTCACCCAGTGCACAAACAGGCTTTAGACCTCCCACATGGCCAAGCTTCTGCCGAAAGAAGTTGTTGAGGCTTGAGATCTGTGAGTGTCGAATCTGCAGGTGCCTCAACTCACCCACGCTCAGGTCGGCATCGCTCTTGGACTTCTCTTTGTCTTTCACTGTCAAGTTGATCTCCATCCCCCCTCCTGGCAGCTTCCTGGGCAACTTCAAGTGAGCATCGCAAATGCAACAGGAGAAGATTTAGACTACATGGCACAAGGAGCAATGGTAATAGGGATTATTAGAATGAGGTTCCTCCACTCTTTGGACCCTACCAGCCTGAATCCATTCTCATTCTGGATTCTCTTCGAAAGTTTCGCTCGCAGCCCCTGGTGAACCACACGTCTGGCCATGAAGACGCCGCAAAGGCCCAGCACTGCACTTGGCACTGAGGCCGGTCGCCCTTGCGACCATGTACCGAACACACATGGAGTCCATGCGGCTGCTCCAGGCGCGCTGGGCGCGCTGGGAGTGGTGCCGGAAGCACCGGCACCAACAGGGCCAGGCGGTGGCGACAGCAACGCCATGGGAAAATCGGAACGGTTTCAATCTGGAGCCACAGCAACGCCAAGGGTGAAAGCGCCTTTAAACCATGGCTCAACTTATGCTCTGTAGCGCTCACCGGCGGATGAAAGCACGACTTTTTGATTCTGAACATCAGAACGTAGGGATGTGGGCACCGTGGCCAAGCTGAAGACTGCGTGCGCGTGACGCATCTGCCAAGCTTGGCGGTCTTAGGAGGCTTGTGGCTTTGGATGGGAATCCGACGCCGAGCTGGGGTCTGCATGCATCTATAGACATATGAGATATGCCTTTGCTTCTTTTTACAGGTGAAAGATTTTAGCTGTCTCGCCAAGCCCGCCAAAGGTAGCCCCCGATGCACCAGTGCAAATGTAGCACATCATGCCCCATACCTGTTGCGCTAGGAACTGGGTTCGGGTCCACACTCCATTTGAAAAAGGAGGCGAGGTAGCCCTCTCTCACAATTTCAGCGCTGGAACGAAACCTCCGCGCATTCTTTTTGAAAACTGTGGACTTGGTTTTCTTGGACATTGTATACCGTTTTGTACCTATGGATCCTCCTGTAGTCCAACTGGGAATTCGGAATTCACCTAGCTTGCAGTAGGCTGCTAGGCCACACTGGGCCAACAGGAACTATCAGCCATTCTGGCAACAAGCTCCTTCTGCTCCGTCTTCTGTCAGCTGGTGTGGAGATCCTCTCAGATCATAGTTGGGACATTCTCCCACATCTTCACTTCCTTGCAGGTGAGCCATCTTTCATTGCATCCAATTAGAACATAAAAGAACCAACTGCTAGTTGGGAGTCTCCTTACTGAATCACTGGCCCATCAATCAGGGCGTCGGCTATCAATGGCCTCTCACATTTCATATTTATATATATATATATATATGGGTGTGCGTCAAAACCCCGGGTCTCAGGTGAACATCGCGCACCTTCCTGTTCCATAGGGTATGGAACGGATCCCTTGTTCCATAAGGTATGGAACAGGTATGGAACGGGGGTATGGAACAAATTGTACCAAATTACACCACCGTAGACCCCAAACAGTTTGTGTTTTCAAAATCGAAACTAGAGCTTGCGACGTCCAGAGCTGGGAGATAAATGTAAAGGATTGCAAGGCAGAGACGGACACAGCAGTACAGAGCGGGGGGACACATCTTAAGAAAGAAGTGAGAAGCCCTAACAGTAAACCTTTTGGGGAATTATTCTTCAAGCGCGAACATGATGCTGGTCATGCTGCTCAGTCAGCGGGGAGCTGACCACGTGAGGACAAGAAACAAAAGCATGAGGAGCGAAGGATGTGACATGAAATTGATTTTTGGCGCCTGACATATGCCCTCCGCCCCAACTGAATAGAGAGATCGCTGCCACACCGCCGAAATCCAATCCGGTCATTCATCCAACGGTTGCCCGAGAAGGAAAACAAAGCTGAGAGAGTTACACACTGCGGCAGGAATGCAATCCCGGAGACAGTCACGCACCCCTTGCAAAGGAGCAAGAACCTTTCACAGGCGAACCTGTTCCAGCGGACAGGGCAGAAAACAGCAGTGCAGGCACCAAACCTGAAAGACAAAAAGAAAGAAATCACATGGGAGACAAATGAATAGAAATGCTACATGGCCAGCGGAAAAGGGCGGCAGCACCAGTGACAGACCCGGGAAACAAATTAATAGAAATGCTGCATGCCCAGCGGAAAAGGGCGGATACCAACAGTGACAGACCTGGGAGACTAATGAATAGAAATGCTGCATGGCCGACGAAAAGTGCGGACACCAGCAGTGACAGACCTGGGAGACAAAACACTGGCAGTGACAGACCTGGGAGACAAATGAATAGAAATGCTACATGGCCAACGGAAAAGGGCGGACACCAACAGTGACAGACCTGGGAGACAAATGAATAGAAACAGCGGAAAAGGGCGGACACCACCAGTGACAAGCCTGGGGGACAAATGAATAGAAATGCTGCGTGGCCAGCGGAAAAGGGCGGAAATTAGCAGTGACAAAGACAAATGAATAGAAATGCTACATGGCACCAGCAGTGACGGACCCGGGAGACAAATGAAGCATTTCTGGGAGATAAATGAAAAGAACCGGGAGACAAATGAAAGCAAGTGTAGGGCGGGAACCCGACCACAAGCACCCAGCCTGGGAGACAAATGAAAAGAAGTTGGTGACAAATGAAAAGAAGTGGGAGACAAATAAGAAGAAGTGGGAGACAAGCCGGCCGGGAACCCGACCACAAGCAGAAAAGAAGTGGGAGACAAATGAAAGGAAGTGGGAGACAAGCTGGCCGGAAACCCGACCACAAGCACCCAGCCTGGGAGACAAATGAAAAGAAGTGAGAGACAAATGAAAGGAAGTGGGAGACAAGCCGGCCCGGAACCCGACCACAAGCACCCAGCCTGGGAGACAATGAAAAGAAGTGGTAGACAAATGA